TCAATGCCTTCCTCTCTGAAATTTTACACACACACACAAACATGCATACACACATTCACAGTTACATGTACCTACTTGATTATATGTTGTATCTGCATGTATTTATTTAATTACATGTTTCTACTTAATTACATGTTGTATCTACCACTAGAATATGAGTTCCTTGAAGACAGTGACTATTTTTGTCTTTCATTGTATCGCTTAACAAATGCTTTGTGACAGGATAAGTGGAGAATGAAATAGAATGAGAAGAGATTTGAAGCAGGGAGAATAAAAAGTCTAGAATCTCAAGGGAAATACTTTAAGGGAATAAAAGGAAAAACAATGACTAGAACTTGTATTATAAAGCAGTAATCATCAAAACTTTTTGGCATTAGTATGAGTAGAGAGAAAGGGTAAGATGCACGAGATAATGTGGAGGCAGTAACAGCAAAATTTGGCAAATGATTTGATACACAGGAAGAATTAGAATGAGATATAGAGAGTGATGTCACAGTCATGCCTTTAAAAGAAATAGATAGAGAAGTCTGACAAACGAAGATTTTGGACTTGATGAATTTGAAATGTTACCTGGACATATGGATTGAAATATCCAATAAAAAACTGACAATGTAGGGCTGAAATTCAAGTAAAAGAGTGGATCTGTACATATTGATCAGTGAAAAATCTATATCATGAGAACAGATGAAGCTAGATTAGGGAAGGAGAAGAGAATAAGGATTTATACAATGCCTATTATGTGCCTGATACTGGACTAAAGTGCTTTATAAATATTTATGAAATTAAACTCAACGTATAGAGAGCCACTATAGAAAGAGAAAAGAAGATCTAAGACAAAACCTAGAAAAATACAAATTAACACTTTAAGATTTCACTCAACACTGTGCCAATTGTCAAAGATGAAAAAAAAAATAGCAGTCAATGGCAAAGAAGCTACACGAAGATAAGGCACAGGCATACTGCTAATCGAGTTGTGAATTGGCCAGTGATTCTTTATATCAATCTGGAAGTATACAATAAGAGTGCCTGAACTCGCCATATACCTTCACAAAGAAATTTCTATAACAGGCATATAACCAAAAGAGAAAGGAACAAAAAGTCCAATATATAACAAAATAGGCAAAGGTATACTCTTTAGTAAAGAACTGAAAAAAAGGTAAATGCTCATAAACTAAGGAATGAAATGGCTAAACAAATTATGCTATATAATGGAAAATTACTTTGCACTAGAAAAATGATGTCTAAAAGAAATTCAGAGAAACATAGGAAGATTTGAATAAAATGAAAATGAAACAAAACCAAACAAGCAGTACACAAAATAATTACAATGATGTAAATAAAAAGAATACTAAAAGGTAACTAAATTCTGAGTAACTGAAAAACCAGTATTGATCCCAGAACTCTGGTATAAGGCAGTTCCACCTGGGAGGACATAGGGTTCCCCTATTGATCCTTGCTTTCTACAACTGTGCTTATAGTGTTATATTTCCCCAGGGTTGTTTAAGTCCTTGTCCAGTATCCATTTATGTCTAAGGAAGTTAATCCAACTTCTGCTCACTGAAGTCAAAATGAACAAGTTCAGTCCCCTCAATCAAAGAACAACCCTTCAAATACTTGAATCTATCAAGTATATATAGATGTGAGAAGACTCCTCCAGGTTAAACAACTCCTTGTATCTCTCATAGTTCTCTGAAAACAGGACTGTTTTCATGTTTGCCTGGAACAAAGTAAACACTTGAGAAACGCATGTTGACTTGATGTGACTTAACAAATATGGCTTAGACACAAGGTCCTTCACCACCCTGGCTGCTCTTCTCTAGATACTTTCCAGTTTATCAATGTCCCTCTTAAAATGTGATGCTCAGAACTGAATATACTACTCCAAAGAACTCTGACCAGAGTAGAATATAGTGAAACTTTGACACTTATAATCCTTAACTTCCATCCACTGGTTCTAGTTTCACCATTTACAATGACACAGAACTAGCTTAACTCACTTTTATATAATATTTTTGGGTTTGTTTTTTAAATTTGAAAGTATCTTGTCTCTACCATCCAATACCACTGCCTTACAGGCCAAACATACCCATTTTATTCAATCAGAATATGTTTAGAAAACACTTATATGTTTAATTTCTGTTCACTATCCAATAATCTCCCCTAAACCATCGGAACCCTCTCACTAGTCTCCAATCTTTTTAAAATTGATTTCATTATTATTCTGATAGTAGAAGCACCTCTATCATTTTCCAGCATTCCATTAAAGTACTTCTCTCATTTCTACCCCGTAATGACATATAAAGACAATCTGAAAAAAGGCTATCAACTTCGCTCCTACTTAAAACTACCTTTCAAACTATCTTTAGTTTCATTAATGCCCAGTGTTCATAAGTCAACAAATTATCATGTATTCCATCTTTTCTTTAGGCTATGTCTCCCATTTTATGTCTTTAGATATTCAACATCTGACACATAACAGATATTTAATAAATAATTAATTGATGCCAATTAGGAAGTTACTACAACAGCTCAGGGGAACCACAACCAGCCAAGAGGAACAAAGATTAGTAGAATATCTCCAAGCTAAAATTAAGTCATTCTGAAACAAAAACAAAAAATAAGTCTGTCCTTTTATCGGATACCTATATGATTTGAAGTTCAGAATTCCCAAAATTCTCTCAAGGTTGAGGAAGACAAAAGAGAATAAGCATTGATGATGATGATGATGATGGTCCTCACAACAGCCCTTAAGAGGTAGATGCTATTATTAAACCCATTTTACAACTAAGAAAACTGAGGCAAACAGAGGTTGAGTTACTTGCTCAGGGTCAAACAGTGGCAAAGTCTTATGTCAAGTCTGAACTCAGGTCTTCCTGACTACAGGTCAGACACTCTATGCACTGTACCACCTAACAGCCTAAGTTGAAAGAAAAATTAATTTAACCAAAACAAAAACTAGGTAAAGAAAGAAAAGTTATCATCATTTGACCATCAGGAACAAATCTCTCTTTTTACTATATATAAATAGTTGGCAACAAACATCCAAAACCTTGAATCATCCAAGTATAAAAATAAGCATGCTGACTCATAACAGATGGTCAATGTTAGAAATCAGCAATTATTAAAATGATTAAAAGTTAAGTTTTAAAGAGTAAAAGTTCAACGTATTTTTGCCAAATTTTCTGATATTACATACACACACACACACACACACACACACATTTGCATACATACATACATACATACATATGTAATTATAAGGTAGTAAAGAGCTTTGGTGGAATGTTGGTGTGACAAAGATAGTTTTACTATCAGAATAAAAATGAAATTAATAAGAATAGGGATCGATACAAGTGAGGCTAGGACTTTGGAAGATTATTATATACCAAAAAAAACCCAAGAAACTCAGATAATTTCATAATCATAGATGTTATTTGTTGTAAGAGAGCATTTAGTTGGTAGGGGCAAGAGAAGTCCTTGGGAAATAATAAGAGTATCAATAAAACTTTTAAATTTATTTAAATAATTAATTAAATAATCAAAGTGGAAGAGGAGAAACTCTGAACAAGAGAGGTTGTGATTTGACTGCTGATGAGGAGAGGATGAGAGAGATGTCAGAAAGGGAGAAAAACTGGACTGATTACATGTGAGGAGTCATGAAAAGAAAAAGTCAAGGACAATGGGGTGTCTAGAAGAATAGTATAATGTTTGACAGAAATAAAGAACAAGAGGGATGCATTTATGAGAGAAAATAATGAGTTTCGTTTTGTTTGAGACTCCTGTGGGACATCCATGTATATCAGGCAGCAGGATATATGAGACAAAAGGTCAAGAAAGAGAGGGGCAGTTATAGGTAGATTTGAGAGGATTATGAATTAAGATACTAGTTAAATCACGTGAGATTCTAGACCTATCAACCTAATCTTCCTTCACTGAACATGTTGCCATCTCCAGTCATCCTGATCTCTATCTTGCCACTGGACCCAGATGGCTCTAGAGAAGAAAGTGCGGCAGTGACTGACAGCCCTCCCTCACTTAAATCCAATTCACTTGCAAGTCATGGCATCACCTTCCTGATGTCATGGTGCTCTTCAAGAACAAAGGACAAGGGTCAGATTCTTAAAATCTGGTCTGCTTACATTAGTGATACAAATGCTTAAATTCCTTAAGAGTCTGGGCAATATGGCAGATTCCTAAAATCTCAACCACCCCCAATAGATGTTCTAATAAACCTTATCTTTGGCTGGAAAAAAAGAAAAGGCCAAACAAAAACAAGAAGTTCCATTTAGCACAGTTCTTAGCATAGAGTAAGCACTTAAATACTTTTCATTCACTCACACACTCATCACCTTTGCAAAGGGTAAATGCTGCTATGCAATGTAACATACTTTCTCTTGTTGTATTCCACAGCAAAGCATGGAAAATAAGTGACAATTTTTTCATGTTATTTGGAAAAGTACATATATACAGAAAATCACACTTCAGCAGCTAAGGGGAAAAATACTTTATAATTACAGTTACAATTAATAAACAATTTAATTCAACATGTACTCTTCCATCCAGTGACGCTGGCCTCCTAACCATTCCGCAAACAAGACACTCCATCTCTCAGATTAAGCTATTATCCTTAGATGTCCTTCAAGCCTAGAATGCTCTCCCTCCTCCATTCTGACTATTGACCTTCCTGACTTCTGTTAAGTTACAAACAAAACCCCACCTCCTACAGGAAACCTTCCCTAGACCTTCTTAATTCCACTGCCTTTTTCCTGTTAATTATTTCCTATTTATCCTACATACAGTTTGCTTTGTATACATTGGTTTTCATGTTGTTGTTTTTTACCCCCCTCCTCATTAGACTGTAAGCTCCTTGAGGACAGGGAGTGTGTTTTGCCTCTTTTTGTATTCCTAGTGCTTAGCACAGTGCCTGGTACACAGTAGGTGCTTAATAAATGTTTATTAAACTGAATTTGTAATTACAGTTACAATTATGAAGACATTACCTTTAACTTTGATCCATGAGGCACAACTGAAGATTTATTCTGCTTCGGTGGGATATAGAGTTCCCATTTCCCATATTCAAGTTTTTTATATGGATAAGAAAATGGATTCCAACCACCTATAAACAAAGGAAAAAAAATCAGTAACCAAAGTTCATTAATAGTAATATCCAATTAGTTTCAATAAAATCATTATAGAATATTTACAAGATTTTACACTATGTAATACCATTTAAAACAAGTTAACAAACTGCAAAAAGGAAAATATATGAAGATGTACAGATATGACTAATCATATAGTAGTAGCATAGGAAATATTTAAAAGTCAGTAAAAAAATATTTATTAAGCATTTTCTATATGCCAAACATTGTGCTAAGCACTGACAATACAAAAAGAAGCAAAAGGCAGTTTCTGTCCACGAAGAGTTCACAATCTAATAAAGGAAACAACAAGCAAATAAATTTATACAAACTAGCTACATACAAGATAGACAGGAAATAGTTCTAAGAGAGAAGGCAACAGAATTAAGAGAGAACAAGAAAGAATTCTTGCAGAAGATGGGACTTGAAAGAAGCCAGAAGGCTGAGATAAGGAGGGAAGACATTCCAAGCATGGAGAATAGTCAGAGAGAATACCCAGACCTGGGAGATTAAGTGACTTCTTGGTGGAACAGAGAAGAGGTCAGTGTGTAAGAAAACTGTAAAAGTAAGAAGATTAGGGATTGGTTTTATGAAGGGCGTTTAACTTTGAACTTCTATTTAGAGGATTTTGTATTTGATCCTATGGGTGACACTGGAGTTTCCTGAGGCAGGCAGACCCACCAGTCTAAGTGATAAGATAAAGGCTTGCACCAGAGTGATGGTAGTATCAGAGAAGAACATACATAATAATAGCTAACATCAAATAGTGTTTACTATGTGCCAGCCACTGTGCTAAGCACTTCACAATTATCTAATTTAGTCTTCCTAAAAATACTGGGAGGTATATACTATTATTATTCCCATTCTACAAGGTGCAAGAAAAACACACACACACACACATTTTTGGACATGACCACTGTATGGATTTATTTTGATTGACTATGCTTATTTATTAAAAGGTTAGCGTTGGGATTTTCCCCTTTTATTTCAGTTGTTAATGGAGAGGGAGGCTTGAGGAGAGCATAGCAATAATGGTTTTGTAATTGGTTTGAGATAGATATTACTTATCATCTTAAGCAAGGCTCCATACATTCCTATGCTCTCTAATGTTTTTAATAGGAATGGTATTGCATTTTATCAAAAGCTTCATCTGTATCTATGGAAGTAATCATAATTTTGGGGGGGGGGGGTTTGTTATTGATATGGTCAATTAAGCTGACAGTCTTCCTAATATATAACCAGCCCTGCATTCCTGGCATAAATCCCACCTGGTCATATCTTTGTGACATATTGCTAAAATCTCCTTGCTATTATTTTATTTAAATTTTTGCATTAACATTCATCAGGGAAATTTGTCTAGTTTTCATTCATTGTCTTTGATCTCACTGATTTAGGTATTGAAACCATATTTATGTCATAATGGGAAACTGGTAAGACTGTTTTCTTTACCTTTGTTTTCAAGAAGTTTATATAGTATTGGAATTACTTGTTCCTTAAATAATTGATAGAATTTACTTGCAAATCCATCTGGTCCTGTAAATTTTTTCTTAGAAAGGGCATTTTTTGCTTGTTCAATTTCTTTTCCTAAGGTAAGATTATTTAACTATTTTATTACTCTTCTGTTAATCTAGACAATTTATATTTTTGTCAATATTCATCCATTTCACTTAGACTATCAGTTTTATTAGCATATAATTGGGCAAAATAACTCCAAATAGCTGCTTTAATTTTATCTTTATTGGTGGTACATTCACCTTTTTCATTTTTGATACTGGTAATTTGGTTTTCCTCTTTTTTTTCTTTTTAAATAAAATTAACCAATGGTTTTTAGGGGTTTTTTTTCTCTTAAAACCAGCTCCTAGTTTTATTTATTAGTTTCAGGGTGTTTTTTACTATCAATTTTATTAATCTCTCCTTTGATTATTCAGGATTTCCATTTGCTGTTTCATTGAAAAATTTCAATGTGTTCTTTTTCTAGGTTTTTTTTTTTTGGTTGCATACTCAATTCATTGATCTGCTTTCTCTTTTATTGATTTACATATTTTAAAAAAATTTCCCCTAAGAAACGCTTTGGCTGCATCTCACAAATTTTAGTATATTGGTTCATTCTTGTCATTCTATTTTACAAAATTATTATTTCTATGATTTGTTCTTTGACCAACTCATTCTTTAGGATTAGATTATTTATAGTTTTCAATTAATTTTTAATCTATGTTTCTAAGGCCCTTTGTTGAAATGAATACAATATCCACTCCACCCTGGACTTATTTTATTCAGTTATTCAAGATAGGTTACTCTTGGTTGTAGTCATAGTTCTTTTGCCTTTCAAAATATCATATTCTAAAAAAGTAGAGGCACCTTTAACATAGTAGCTGCTAAATCTTGTGTGATCCTGACCGTGGTTCCATGACATTTGAATGTTTTTATTGGTTGCTTGAAGTATTTCTCTTTTGACCTGGAAGTTCTGTAATTTGGCTATAATATTCCCAGGAGTTTCCATTTTGTATCTCTTTCAGGAAGTGATTGATGGATTCTTTCATTTTCTATTTTACCCTCTGGTTCTAAGATACCAAGGCAGTTTTCACAGAAAACTTCTTGAAATATGATGTGTAGACTCTTTCTTTGATTATAGCTTTCAAGCAGTCCAGTTCAATTATCTCTCCTCAATCTATTTTCTAGGTCAGTTGTTTTTCCAATGAGATATTTCACATTGTCTTCTACTTTTTTCATTCTTTTGATCCTCTCTTATTGTTTCTTAATGTCTCATGGAGTCATTAGCTTCTACTTACCCAATTCTAATTGTTAAGGAATTATTTTCTTCATTAAGCCTTTTTATCCCATTTTCCCATTAGGGCAATTCTGCTTTTATTATTTTCTCAATGAATTTCTGTAATTCCTTTTCCATTTGGTTAATTCTGTTTTTTAAGGTGTTGTTTTCTTCAGTATTTTTTGTGCCTCTTTTAGCAAGCTGTTCTCTTTTCATAATGTTCTTCCCTTCTCATTTCTTTATCCAATTTTTCCTCTATCACTGTTATTTAATTTTGAAAATCATTTTTTAGCACTTCTAGGAATTACTGTTGGGCTTGTGTCCAATTCACATTTTTCTTTGAGGTTTTCCTGGTAGCTATTTTGGCACGTCTTCTGAGTTCGTATCTTAATCTTCCCTGTCACCACAGTAACTTTTTATGATCAGGTTGTTTTTTGTGCTCACTTTTCCATCCTGTTTCCTGACTTTGAACTTTATGTTCAAAGAACTGGTGGGCATGGTTGGGATGAGAAACTATCCCAAGCTTCTGACTTTTTTGCATTGCTGTTTTCAGATCTAGTTCTGTAGGTTTGGACATTTTTGGTATATGGTCACTCTCTCCTGGTCTGGGATCTGGTCTTTACCCAGGAAAAGTTCCTGATCTTTTGCAATTTCAAGCAATACTGCTCTTCAGGGCTCCTGCTCCTTCTTGACCAAAACTGTTCCTCTCTGCCCTTGAACTGTGAACTGAAAGTGGGTATAGGCAATAGAGCTGACAAACATTGTCCAGTACTCCGCGTAATGCTAGCAACAGGTCCTTGATAATATCTTTCTGGCCAGGTGCCTGATCCCCTTATTGTCTCTGGCTTGAAAAGCTCCCGAATCTATTGCTGCTACTGTTGCCACGGCCAAGTCCCACCACTTGTCATGCATCCACATGAGCTCAGGACCAGGCTCCACCCCAATATCAGAGATCTCTCCTTCCAATTTCCTAAGTTATCTTGGGCTGGGAGAATGTCTCACTCTGACCTTTTGTTGGCCCCATCATTCCAGAATTTGATTTAAGGCATTAATTTAAAGATATTTGGAGGGGAATACATGGAGAACTTAGTTGTAATATTCCTCTAGTCCACCATCTTGGCTATCAGCAATAATGTATAATTTTTTTTTTAAATTGGGCCACTGAATCACTATTTTTTTAAATGAACCAAAAAGATCAGAAGAAGTTAGGAAAGAAAAACAGAAAAGCAGGGAGATTTTGAAAGTAACATGCAGAATTTTTTTTTAAAGGAAAGCAGTACACAGGAAAATATGTAGCACAGGGGAGAGAATATCGACCCTGGAGTCAGTAACACCTGACTTCAAATCTAGCCTCAGACACTTACTAGCTGTATAACCCTAGACAAGTCACTTAACCACAACTGATTCCAAAAATAAAATTAAATTTAAAAAGCAGCATGAAATGGCGATTCATGGTTACAGAGGGAATTCTCTTGCATTCTGTTGTATATGGGAAAGCTCTTTTTGATGTTTAATAGCTTAAAAATTAATTTTAAAAAGTCTTAAATATGCCATTTATTTATTTTATGATTCATTTATAAATTATTCTCCTTCATCATTCTTTACCAGCTCATGTAATCTTTCCAGGATTCTCTTAATCCTCCATTGTAGCATTTCTTATGGCACAATACTACTCCATTACATTCATGTCATAATTTGTATAAAAGAGAAAGACCTGTTCTCTTCCCTCTCTACACTGCCATTTGGCGCCTGGATCAGATCTTGTAAGCTTTATTATTTTCTATATACAGATGACTCCCATATCATATCCTAGATCTGGATATCCAAAGAGAGCTGGGTGGGAAGCAGTGAAAAGAGCACTGGACTTGGCATTAGAAAGACTGGAGTTCCAATATGGCCTCAGACACTTACCAGCTGAGTGACTCTGGGCAAGTTACTTAACTTCTATCTACTTCAGTTTCCTCATCTGTAGAATGGAAATACTCCTACCTCCCTGAGATAACATAAGGAAAATGCTTTGCAAATCTTAAGAAACTATAAAAGTGTTAGTTATAAATTATAACTATTATTATATTATAATTATAATAATTATTATATTATTATAATTATACTATTATCATCATCTTCATTATTATTATTATCTAGACCTAGTTCATCCCTGGATGATCTAGGCCCTTATCATCAATGGCCTTTTAGGAAATTTCAAACTGA